GGTATTTGATTATCCAAAAAACAACTTAACAGAAAATAGTATTTCTAAATTCTAAAAAAAAAAAAAAAAAATCTTAACCTAAACATTCTCACAGCCTGACAGGTTTGATATAATATTTACCTAAAATGTAAATATTAATTGAAAAAAAACTACAAAATCCTTGAAAGCTGTAAATGAAAGAAATATCTCTGAATTGTGAAGTATTTTTAAATAAGTTAGAATTTCAGTTTATCTGGCTATTTCATATACAGTACTTTACTGCCACAGTAAACTTCCACTGATATGAAAGTGTTAATCTTTTCTGTCCCACAAATATAAAAATCTAGAAACGTTATTGTTCAGTATGCTAGCAAACAAAATGCACAATTTCTCAAGATTTTCATTAAAACAAAAGAAGAAAATAATGAAATGCAAATTTAACTTGAATTTACAGTGAATGTGACATAACAGTTATTTGATTAAATAGCTTATCAGCCAATATCATATTTTTAAATTCTTTCTGAACTAGATGTATTTGTAATTACCTGTTTACAGTGTTGTAACTGCCTTTACTTTCCACTAAGTAGCCTGCAATACAATAGTACAGATGTTAGGAGGATAAGTAGTGAATTTCTCCACATTCTTTACAGAACATTGTTATCTTGAAAGGGTGTTTTTTGTTTTGTTTTACATGGTTGGTGGCTATAAAGAGAATTCACTAAATTTTCTGCTTTATTTTTGAAATGGCTAATACAAATACCACCGCCTTTGTATCTTTAATTGTTTAAGCACATTTACATAGTTGGTGATAGATATTTAATAAACAATCAATAATTTCACACATAAAAATATTGTGTATAAATTAATAGGAAGATTAGAATAGGATGCACATTTTTAAAACATAGTACAAACTTTTAATCAGAAGGACTCATTTTATAATTAAAACTGGAAAACTGAGTGTGATAAAAATTACAGATTTTAATTGAACAGAATAGCTAATTAATATAATTAAAAACTACACTTGTATAATAAAGTCCAATCCAACTACGACAAACATAAGTCAGTTGTAAACTTGTAAAAACATCCTTTTATCTGCCCAAATGAGTATGTTCTAGCTATATCATGATCACATGGAACACTGTGTCGCCCAGGTGGTTAGGGCGCTCGACTCGCAATCTGAGGGTCACGGGTTCGAATCCCCATCACACCAAACATGATCGCCCTTTCAGCCGTGGGGGCATTATAATGTTACGGTCAATCCCACTATTCGTTGGTAAAAGTTGGTGGTGGGTGGTGAT